ATGTATGCACGTGATGATTTTCTGTATCACATTCCATGGTACAACGACTTCCACCATGATTGATTGGTTGACCGGCGATTACTTGTTTAATTTTTATATTTTCCAAATACATATTTTCTAGAGCTTGACGGTTCATACCACACATGGTCCAGGCGATATGTTCTTCAATATTAATCTGATTTTCTTCTGAATAATCAGAGAATGCATCTCCATAAATTTGTCTTTCCCACGAATTATTATATTCTTCTGTATCAATCGAATAGTTATCTTCATTACACTGACAAATAATTTCGTTACAACAACTATATGGTGATGGTGAACGGGCTGGAGGAGGTTGACAAACTTTACAAATACAATCTTCTGGATGAGGTCCATTGGGGTTGTTAAAATCATATCGAATTCCTGAAATAATATTAATAGGAGAGTTATTTTCAGATCGTTTTTCAATGTAGCTTTGCATATCATATATTAGATTATCACAATGATTTAACAAATCGATAGCTCTTTGAGCAGGTCTATCAGTATAATCATCTTCTGAATCTGCATCATACTCTTCATGTACTGGAGTAGAGCTTTCATTTACATTAGTTTGTCTTTCTTTTTCAATAGAAATCATGAAACAACTAAGAGTTTGGTTATCTTCTTCAAACATTCTGGATAATGCATCTGCATTTGCATTTGCTTTTCCTGCTCGATGCTTAATATTAAAGTTGTACTGTTGAAGGTCCATGACCCATCTTGCACGGCGACCTTTTGGGATTTTGGATGTCTTTAACCATTTTAGAGCAGAATGGTCAGTAACAATTGTGAAAGGTTTTAATCCTAAGTAGTGTTGGAAATGTTTAATAGCCCATACTATCGCAAGACATTCCTGGTCGGTTATAGGGTAATTGCATTCAGCCTTATTCAAAGATCTGCTGGCATAAGCGACTACATGTTCTTTTCCATTCTCTCTTATTTGAGATAACACAGCACCAAGTCCAGTTCCAGATGCGTCTGTATGGATAATAAAGGGTTGTTCAAAGTCAGGGTATGTTAAAATCGGAGATTTAACTAATCTTTCCTTTAAATAATCAAATGCAGTTTGCTGTTTCTCAGTCCAATGAAAAGGGGTTTCCTTCTTTAAAAGTAATAACATTGGTTTGGCTATTTTTGAGAAATCTTTGATGAACTTTCGATAATAGGAGAATAAGCCTAATGCTGAGCGAAGTTGTGTTAGGTTTGTTGGGACTGGAAAAGTTTTAATTTTCTCAATTTTTTCTGGATCAGGACGGATACCTTCTCGTCCTACTACATGTCCTAGGAAATGAATATTTCCAAGGCAAAAATAACATTTCTTTAGTTTAATCTTCAAATTTGCTCATCTAAGAGTTTCAAATACTTGTCTAAGATGGTCCAAGTGTTGCTCCAAGGTTCCTTTTGAGTAGATGATTACATCATCTAAATATACTGCTACAAATTTCCCTAGATACTCCTGGAGTATTCTATTCATTAATCGTTGTAAACGGCCGAATATCAAGCACGAAAAGATGATAAAATTCAACCGCCAAATGTAATTATCAAGTATTAAGAACAAACAAATTAATCGTGGATTGGTGTGGATGGATAAATAATTAGCCGAAAAGGATAAACATTTAAGAAGAGTAATGATCTACATGATGTAATATTTATTGNAATTCTTACAATCTTACATCATAAAATTTTTCTTTTTTTTTTTTTTTTTTTTTTCAAAAAAAAGGAGATATTATTGATAGAAAATTAAAATTTTCCGCTATAGCGGAGTTCCGCTAGTGTCACGTGACATGAAGATCATTTCCTTTTTTGAAAATGTGTGTAACCCATTTGCATAAATAATTTTCGTTTTTCATCAGAAGTAAAATTTCCTTTTTTTGGAATTTTGTGTAACGTTTAAACCATCACCCTGTATCACACCCTCAAGCTTTCAAAAATTACTAAGTATTATTTGAACTTAGAATTTTTTAATGAAAAAATCATATTTGTCACTTTATTCGTCACATGGTTAATTCCGGCCAAGTTCCGTAATTCCAGTCAAATCATATAATGTTACACAAATTTCCTAAAAAGGAAATGATCTTCATGTCACGTGACACTAGCGGAACTCCGCTATAGCGGAAAATTATAAAATCCATATTATTAAATATTTTTTTTTAAGAGTGTTATTAAAATTAAAAAATGAAGTCAATATTTCTTCATAATAAATAAATAGAATCATTTTTTTTTTATGATCAAATATTTTGATATAATTATTATATATTTGTAAAAAAAAACATTTTATTTATTTATAGATATATCAATTTGTCCGAATTTTTTTACTTGAATGAAAATTTGATTACATAATTATTGACATTTACCGAAATCTTCCATTGTTTTTTTTATTTAACCGATAATGGTAGATAACATTTTTTTTTTTAATTAAAAAAAAAGAAAAAAAATTATTTTATTTATTTGAGATATTTATTTATGATATTATTTTATGGTAATATCATATATTTTTTTCGATAACTTTCATAGTACTTTTTATTTATTTATCATAGTAAATAAATTATTAATAAATAATAAAAATATATATATATATATATTAACCTGCCATCCGTAGAGAAGCTAACTGACGAATCCAATACTTGAAGCTTGAAAGCATATACTTAAGTGTAGGCTTAAGCATGAGTTTCAAGCTTCAAGCTTAATATAAAAATGCTGGAAAAGTTTAAGCTATATTTGGGCATCAAACTAACCATATTGAATTTCATGGTTTAGTACGATTAAATTTATTAAAATAATACTACGATTAAAGCTAAACACATTACACAAGCTTTTCGGCATTCTTCAAGTTAAAAAAAGAATGTAAATTTTTTGAATATTTAAAAACTCTTTTTAGAGAAAATAAATCAAAAATAGGAAACGATTTTCACTTTTATTTGAGTCAGCTTTTTTTTATTATGAAATAAATTAAAAATGGTAAGTGATTTCCTTTTCTAATAAAAATAATTTAGGTTTCATCTATACTAATAACGAGAGTTTTTGCGTCCAAATTGAGAATTACGGTTAGATTAAAAAACGTGAAATCTAATCCCAATTTCTCAATTCGTCATAATAAATCTCGTGTTACGTGTTTTAATAATTCTATCTTTGTTAAAACCTTAACAAAGGTCATAAATACCATTTTTGACATTTTATTTGACTTGGGGTAATATCAAATCTCAACCCATAGTGAGAAATCATTCACTCTTTTTTTATAATTACAAATTAATTTTTTTTTTTAAAAAAAAAAGTCAATCCCTAATAACCAAAAAAAACAATAATTTTAATTATGACATCCCAAAATAATTTGGGCAGTATGTATAATACTGTATTTATTAAATTATAATTATATTATTATTATTAGCATCTATTTAATAAATTACAAATAAACAATTCAAAATTAAATCATATGATTCATATACTATTCATATATACAAAAAAAAATCTCATCTGTTTTTTTGGTTACTATCTATGGTTGGAGAATAATAAGAAAGATAAAAGAAAAAGAAAGAAAAAAAATAATAAAAAGAAAATAAAAAGTACACTTATATCTACAAATAAAATTTTTACAATATGAACAAAATGTAAGCGAGAAAGTTTCTAAATTATTAAATGTCCCGAGAGATTTATTAGCCGCTAATAATTAGTCTAAAAAAGATATTAAATTTCGAGAGAATTAAAAATCTAATATTAGTATTCTAAGATTAATAAATTATGCTTGTACTTTTGGTTCAGGCGATTCGCCATATTCTTCTCGCCTCCTTTCTAATGTTGCCAAAGTGTCTTCCACACCACCAGGATATCCACTGGAGACACTGGAGACACTAGTAAGTAGTAATCATGTCTCTCACCGTTATATCTCTTTGCTGAACTCAAATGTGGTTGACTCTTTGATAAACGATCAAAAATATTATCTCATGCTGTCGGTGTTTCTGATCTTGTATGTGTATGATGTGACATGAATGCACGTTTTTCACATTCACTGGTCGTACTTGTTACGCTTGCTGCATCATCACTACACTATCGGGTGAACTACGTCCATATGAACTTTGTCGCATATAATATGATCTTTGGAACCTCGTCGTGCCATACTGCTTTGTGATCTTCGCTTATCACCGCTTCTAAAAATATCCGCTATCACGTGGACCATCGCCCCCTGGTTCTAAGTGCTTGTTGAACTACTTTGTCGACTATGTGCAAGAATTGTTGACCCATCACGAAGCGAACTTCGTCGTGAACTTGAAAGTTGGACACCAGCTCTGGCGCGTTCTAAATGTTGATTACTGGATCTGGTACGTTCCAAAGGTTGACCAATGGACCTTGTACGTTCTAAAGGAGAAATATTTTCATCTTTTGGTGTTGATGGTTTTGGTGTTGATGGTGTAGATGGACCATTAGATGGTCTCTTTAATCTTCGACCATTTGAACTCCTTCTCTTTGTATTATTGTTGTTATCACCACTAGATTCACTATTACCAGAATCTTTTCTTCTTGGATTTGTTGGAACGTCCGGCGTTGTTTCATTAGTTTGTTCGAGTACTTTTTCACGCGGTTGAAGATTTAACCAACCGGGAGGTATTGGTGGTCTTGAAGAGAAACTTGTTCTATTATTACCAGTATTCAATGGACTTGCAGATAATGGTGAAGAAGAGAAGTAAGCTGCATCATCATCAAAGAAGTATGAATTACGTCTTGATAATGATCCCATTTGACCAGGAGTTCCAAGAGTTCCTGCTGATACTGCAGCTTCGACTTCTGCATAAGCTTGATCTAATTTATGATCAAATAAGGAAATGGCATTGGAAGTACTATTTTCAATATCATCCATCTGTAATTCTCTCTTTTCCGGAGTTGATGGACTTAATGATCCTCCACCGAAACGTAAAGCTTCTTCAAGTTCTCTGTTTTTCTTTTCATATTCACTTGTTGTAAGAACTGCAGCTCTTCGCATGGCCAATAAAGTTTTTCTTAAATCAATAATTGTCTTTTCTTGTTGTTCCAAGGTCATTTGTCGAGACCAATCTCCAGTTTTAAGATCAACAATATCCTTAAAGAAGGATTCTAATATTGTATAACTTTCAAATTCATCCAAATTTCGTAAAATGCGAACAGCAACGTCATATGATGCTTCAGGTGTGGCATTTTCTGGTAAGAGGAAAGAAAGTTTCTTTTTAATTTTACTTGACTTGATACTATTCTTTCGTGATTTATCTTCAGATTCTTTGTTATTTTCAGCAGCTTTTTCTTCTTGTTCGGCTGCAATACTTGATTGTAAAGAATGAATCTTGGCAGTAATATAAGAAATTTCCGAGGTGATCATCTCAATCTTATCATCTAATGCTTGAGCATCTCCTCCTAACTCATTTCCAATTTCGCTAGTAATTATTTTTTCACGTTTTTCAAGTAATTCATTCTTCTCTTCTTGTAAATTATTTCTTTTAACGATCCATTCATCCATCATTGTCAATGTTTGACGACCACTAATATATTTATAGATTGCTTCATCAAGAAGTTTTTTCTTATCATAACCACTGGCAAATACTTCATCATAGATAGGACTAATATCATCGGAGGATCGTCTCGATTCCTTTCTGTTTTCATCATTAGATATTGATTGTCGTTTGTGATTACGGATAGCCTTGGTGATTGACTTTGGAGTAGTGGTTCGTTTGAGTAAGGCCATAACTGATTTAAGTTTACTATTTGTTTGTAAAACTTCTTCCTGTCTCTTTTCAAGCATGATTTTTTGCATTTCACTAGTTCTTTCAAAACGTTTCTTTTGTTCTTGAGCAGATTTTTCTTTACGACGAAGATTTTGAATTTCACGTTGATTACGTTCAGTCATTTCACGGACACGTTCAGCTTCATCCTTCATACGCTTCATCGCTCGCATCTTTTCACTTTTTAGTTGTTCAATTTGAGCACGCATACTCTTGAGCATTGTTTCATTTTGATTCTTTGACGTGGTTGTAGATTGAGTAGCTTCATTATATTTTCTACGAAGTTCACCAATTTCTTGGATTAAACGTTTCATCTTGTGTTCATAACGAGATTTAAGTTCGACAAGGATTGAATTCTTATCACGAGTACTAACGCCAGTATTAGCATTTTGAGCACGTTTAACAGCAGAATTTCTTTCTTGTTGTAAGGTAATTATAGCTTCTTGCATATCAGCCAATTTTTGTTCATATTGAGCTCTCATATAAGTATATTCTTGTTCAGCACGTTCCAATTGTGAAACGAGTTGTTCTTTAACAGCAATATCAGCTTGAATTTGATGTAACATACGGGTAAGAGCAATAACATTTTGTTGTTGTTGTTGAGATGAGCAATCAGTGCTATCTTGAGAATATTCAGTTGAACCAGAAGAAATTGGTCGATCGGAGAAACTAACAGAACAACCTGAATTTGAAGTACGACGAGTAGGTTGTGGTGGTTGTGGATTAGATTCTTGCCATTCTGGTACTTCAATGATTTGAATTTCACTGAAAGATACACTGCTTGATCTTCTTTTTTCTTTTTGATGATTGCGAATCATTTGATCAATATAATTTTCACTCTTAGTTCTCCTAGTTGATGAAGGTTGTTTTATTAATTGACTTAAAATAGGATCATCATGTAAAGAACCTCCATTCTTTATTATCATGTAACTTTGTCTGAGTTGTTCCTTGGCCTTTTCAAGCTTATCTCTTGTCTTGCTACGCCTTCTCAATTTTCGAGTAAATTTGAATGATTCACCATCAACATTTTCACCATCTTCACCATCTTCTTCTTCAATATTTTCTTCGTCTTCATCATATGGTGTGAATAAGGATTTAGCTTCTTCCAAACTTTGATCATTTACGACATGTTCAAGTTGATGATGAGATGAGGAAGGGCCAACAGGTGAGATTTTAGTAGTAGAAGTTTCATCAGAAACTGGGAAGTGACCATCAGCTCTTATTGAAGTACGTTTCTTCTTCTTTTTACCTTTCTTCTCACTATTCTCTTTATTATTATTATTATTATTATTATTATTATTAAGATTATGAATATCTTCATCAGATGAATAAATATGAGGATCGGAGAATTTGATATGACCTTTCTCTCTTCCTGTTGTTGTTCCAGCCAAAGAAGATTTACTTTGATGTTGATAAGCTTGTGCAGCTAAAAGTTCAGAAATTTGATTTTTAATATCTTGAATTTCTGATTCATAACCTTGAACGATATTATGAGTTTTAATCCTATGTTCACGATCAGCATCTGAAAGATCTTGATCATTAAAACTAATTTCCATTAAAAGAGTGTTCCTTTCAGCTTTTGTAGTGATAAGTTCTTGTTCAACATTTTTAAGTTTCCATTTTGTCATTCCTAATTCATTTTTAAGACTCTCAATTTCTTCTTCATGTTTACGACTTGTTTCTTCATTACAACCACCAGCTCGTAAAGTTTGAATCTCCATCTTTAATCTACTTATTTGACCACGTAATTGATTTATTTCAATAGAATTACCACCATAACTTTCATTAACACTAACTTTATTCTTAATATTACGAGCACGATTAGCATATTTTAGTGTATTTAAGGTTTCCATTAAATTAGAATCATCTGGTGAAACACAAGCCAACATAAGAGTTTGACTATTACCACCAAGTGAATCTTGTAATAAACGTGTTAATTTTGAATCTCTATAAGGAATATGAGTGACCTTTCTTGATTCATCACCAAGAGCACTAATTACATTACCAAGGGCTAGTAAACTACCATTAATTGCTATTCCTTCTTTTGCTCTATCACCTACGGCGTTAGTTCTCTTTAACTATTTATGTAAAAAAAAAAAATTAATATTAAGAAAATAATCAAGAATATTAAGGAAGAAATATATATATATATTAAATACATTACCCTTTCAGAACCAGCCAAATCTACGAAATGAAATTTTGAAGTTACTTTTGATGTTAATAATTTTTGTTTACTCTTTCTTTTTGAAGTGGTTGAAGTTTCAGGTGGTGGAGCATCATTTTCTTTATTTTCTTTTAAATTTTCTACTCTTGTTTGTTTCAGTATTACGGAAAATATAGCATGTGATCTTGAAGATACCATATTCATATCTGTTGAAGCGACAGTTCGACACAGTGAACCCTTTTGTAATTGTCTAAAAAATTTTGATAGTAAAATTGATAAATTATATTTATATTTTTATATAACATATTATAAACATAATAGAAACATACCCTAAGAGTTCATCTGAATCCGAAACTTGAACTTCTTTTACACCAGCCCAATATATTTGACTATTTGCATCTTCTCTTATCATTAAATCACTCTTTCCTTTTTTATTAAGTAAGTCTATAAAATCTTCATTATATAATTCTAAGAATGATACATAAACTTCAAATTCATAGGAAGGATTTTTTTCTTTTCGTTCGTTAAGGTCGGCAAATAATTTACTTATAGCACGTGGAATGATACCTAATAATAAATGACGTCATTAATTTGATAAACATATGATCAACTTTTGATAATCATTTTAAAAAATGATGCAAGGGACAAACATACCTTGATATTCGGGTGGAATATCTGAACCATATAAAGCAGTACCCATACTATATGTTTTACCACTACCAGTTTGACTAAAAAAGTAGGGAGGGGGGGAAGGGTTGAATAATAAATAATAAATAAATAATAAACATGCAAATTAATTTAGATAATAATTGTTAATTATGTTATTTACTTACCCATATGCTAAGATTGTGACATTATAACTAAAATAATTAAATTATAATAATAAATAATAATTTAACAATGACACGATAAAATAAAAGTGATATCATCAAAAAAAATCCGAATTTGATAAAAAATTTTTTTTTTGATATAAATTTGATTCTTCTTGCGCGTGCGACGTGAGGCCGAATTTTTTTTTCCTGTGTACTCACCCTTCCATGAGTTTATCTATTAGCGGACTTGCACAATCATGAAATATTTCTTCTTGTTCAGTATCCGATGGGAATACATAATCAAATGTAAATGATTTATCGGTTCCAATGAGTATTTGTGGTGCGTCAGGTATTATTGTTAAACATTCACTACAATTTTGTAGTTTTTCTTTGTTATTGAGTGGTCTTACTCTCAAAGCAACTCTAGAGAGGACGGAATGGAAAATGAGTGAGAAACGAAAAACGGTAGGGAGAAAAGGTAGAAGAAAACAAGAATGTGAAAGAAATAGGAATAAAGATTAAAATAGTAAAGGAATTATTTGATTTTTTTGATTTACAGTTACTTACCGTACGGAAGTTGAGGTCATTTTTTTTCGTGTGTATTTATGTATATATTTGTTAAAAATAAGAAAAAAAACGAATTTTTTTTAAAAAGGGGTTATTGTTTATAATACAAACGAATATATGCGTTTGGATTACAAAAAAAAAAACTTAAAAAAAGGTAGAAACTAGAAAGTAATATGTAGTATATATATATATATTAAATAAGAATAATTAATTCACCAGAGGTGATTAATCAACGTGTTAATTTATTTTTGTTACACAAAGCATTACATAAGGCGTAGTAAGTTTGGGGACGAACATTAAAAAAATTTTTATTTGGTTTTGCTATACAATAATTTGATAAATACTTCTTTTAAGCCAAAAATATAATAAATATGATTTGATAATATTGATAATATCCGTTTAATATGGGATCTCACTTTGCACAATAATTTCTGTAATTTTTTTTTGTAAATTGAAAGTATGTTTTACAATCAGTTTGAGTGTAAAGTTCCTATAATGTGAAACGTGAATTAGTTATATGACTTGAAAAATATAAAAAATAGACAATTTTATAAAAAATTATCATAAAAAAAATTTTTTAAACAATATTCATTGAGTTTTAAAATACTTTTAAAAATATTCATAGCTATTATGACTATATAAATTTTCTATTTACATTTTGTTTTATTAAAGCATACTTACTTTCTAATGATACACACTAAAATAACTATGTAGGTGAGGAATGGGCTTTTTGTTAGTGAACTGGAGTCGAATAATTGAAGTTTCGTAAATGTAGATTTTTACTCAACTTATTATTTAGTCCAAATGATAGTCTATTTATATTAATTTTGTATTACGTTTTACAATTTTGTGCACGTATAAACTGGGAATTCGAATTTGGTGATTTTAATAACAAATAACTGATATTACATTTATTTTTAATAGTTTCTTTTATTAATTTTTATCAAACTCAGTGCACCACTTTTAATATAAAATTACCATATTATACATGTTTATTTTTTTTTTACTAATTAAAAATATGTTTTACTTTAAAACATAATTTCACTACTTATCACTGGTTATATGAAATTATTTTATGCTTATTCATAGAAAAGTATGTTTTTCATAACAGTACTACTTCCAAAATTTTGTTTTTCTATTTCTAACATTAGAGCATAATTTCACCACATTGGTCAAATGAAATCAACTTCCTTTTTTAATTAAAAGTTGTGTGTGTTAATTTTTATGAGTGTAGGTATAATCTTGTAGAGAAAATCGTACTAATTTCAAAATTATTCTATTTACTTACTTTATTAATTGAATGTTGTTCAGCAAATGTTAAACTACTTGTATATTAATTTTTATGAGTATTTTAATTAATATTCATTAATTGATGACTGGAAATTCTCTAATCTGGAAATCGAAAACTTTCTTAATTTATGGAAAGAAACGAGAAGAAAATCTCTAGAATTTTTTTTTTTTAAAAAAAAAAATTATTGTCTCTGACGTTTAGAATAGTCTCCATATAAATAAATTGAATTGTGTAATATGAAACGACTGTTGGCCATGTGTAAGTTCCAATATGTGGTTAATCCAATGTCAATTAATGAAATTTAAAACCGAAATTTTTTTTTTTTTCCTTTATAATCTAATCTATAAATGTTTCATATTCATGGAGTTTATACAGAAATTACGGATAAAATTTTTTATCGTTTCTTTCTATGAAAAAAGTTGTACAATTCTAATAATAAATAATCATAATCCTTTTGTAATAGCTTGCAGCCGCTTATAAAAATAGATTTTACTAATTAAACAAGTCCCAACCCGTCCCAACCCGTGACCGTGGAAAACAACACAGTGATGACTAATTGTGTTACAAATAGGATTTTGGCTAAAAACTTGTCCTAGAAACGCGAATGGGTGTGATGGTAGTGACAAATAAAATCTATTTTTAGAAGCAAGGACGGGATGACTGATCCTAAAAAAGTCGTATAAATCTGCGGTACCATGTGGTATCAACTGATTGTCCTTTTGGTTTGGTAACACTAATCACGCTGTACGTTGTGCGACTATTATGGAGGGAAAAAAAATTATAAAATAGAAACCTTAACAATTCATTTTCTCTAACTTTACTGTTAACTTATTATTATTCAATACGTTACGTTTGATAATATCAAAATGCAAGATACTGAGTATACAAATGAATGGGTCAATTGGATTGAGGAAGCTGTTGATAAAGAATATTTTAAATATTATGAATACAATCAATTTAATAATATCCAACCTATTGGTACTGGAGGTTTCGGAAAAGTATATCGTGCAAATTGGAAAAATTCAGAAAAACAATTTGCGTTAAAATCATTTTTTAGTCTTGATAATATCACCGTGAAAGAAATCGTCCGTGAGGTAATTTAATATAAAATAATGATTATATTTATTTAATATATTTATTTTTAAATATTTGAATTTTATTTTAGTTAAAAATTCAACGAGATGTTGATTTTCATGATAACATTATTCGTTGCTATGGGATAACAAAGCTTGAGTCAGGTATTATTGACCGAAGTTATCTTAATAAATATAATATTCTTGTTAATCGTAAAATTCAAAGAAATGCATTTTAATGATTTTTTTTTTTTATTCATTAGATAATCATAATAATTATTGGTTAGTAATGGAGTACGCCGACGGTGGTAGTCTTCGATGTTATTTGAAGAAAAACTTTACCAAACTTTCTTGGGACGACAAATATAAAATGGCATACCAGTTATCTTGCGCTTTATCATGCTTGCATAACGAAGGAATAGTACATTGTGATTTGGTAATTCATTTAACATTATTTAATCGTTAATAATATTATTCTGCATATTCATTTGAAAATGTATTTCTTTCGTAGCATTCTGGTAATATACTTGTCCGTAATAATACAATCAAATTAGCAGATTTCGGATTATCAAAAAGAATTGGAGCATCATCCAATGTTCAATCTAAATTATTTGGTGTGGTTCCTTATATTGATCCAAAAAGCTTTAGTAAACGAAGAAATAATAATAATAATAATGAATCAACACAAGCGTACTCATTAAATGAAAAAAGTGATATTTATAGTGTTGGCGTATTATTATGGGAAATATCTAGTGGGCAACCTCCTTTTTATGTTGAAGGTGAACATTATGATATTAGTTTAGCTTTGGATATTTTACAAGGTCTTAGAGAAACTGTTGTTCCTGATACTCCTGATGAATATGTTAAAATTTATACCAGTGAGTAATATTTTAAATTTTAAAATTTTGTAAATGAATATTATTTTTATTAATCTTTAATTACATTTGGTTATTAGAATGTTGGGATGGGGAACCAGATAATCGTCCAACAATATATCAAGTTGTTGATTGGCTAAATGCAAAGATTGCAAAAATAGATATAATAATAGAAAATCGTCAAATATCAAATGAACAAGAGGCTAATTTAAGTACTAATAATTCAGAATTACCAGGAGATTTATCTCAACTTATTCAAAATTTCGATAAAATGAATACAAAAGAAATTGATTCTCATCAAATAACAAATGAATTAGAACTTAATGAGACTTCTTTAAGTACTAATAATTCAGAATTACAAGGAGACCAAAATTTTGATAAGATGAATACAAAAGAAATTGATTCTATATCAATATCAAGTAAACAAGAAAATCATTCAATTGAAAAAGATTTTAACGTTATAATCGATGAAATAATTGATTTTATTTATAAATTAAATAATAAAGGAATTGAACGGAAATTGGAAAAGAAGCAAGTTATTGAATATTTTAATAATCATAATTTAAGTTCACAAGAATTTTATAATTGGTTATTAAATAATCAAAATAATTCAAATTCTATTTTTATTCTTGGATATTTCAATTATTTTGGAATTGTAACAAGCGAAAATGATAAGGAAACATTTAATTTGTTTATTAATGCATCAGAAAATAATCATACATTAGCACAATATTTTGTTGGTTTGTGTTATAGACATGGATATGGAACTATGAAAAGTGAAAAATTAGCCTTTGAATATTATAAAAAAGTAGCTGATAAAAATTTATCAAATGGACAATTAAATATTGGTTATTATTATGATTTTGGAATAGGTATTAACGAAGATTTAAAAAAGGCTTTTTATTGGTATAAAAAAGCTGCAAATAATGGAAATCTAATAGCAAAATATAATCTTGGTAAATGTTATGAAGATGGGATTGGTGTTAAAAAAGATTATAATAAAGCTTTTGAATTATTTAAGCAATCAGCTGAAGGAGGATATTTAGATGGAATAGTAATGTTAGGATATTGTTATAATAATGGTATTGGAACAAAAATTGATAAGAGAAAAGCATTTAAATTATATAAAAATGCTGCAAATTTAGGAGATGATGTAGCACAAAATAATCTTGCTGTAATCTATAGAGATGGAATTGGAATTGCAAGAGATGTAAATAAAGCAATTTATTGGTTTGAAAAATCTGCCAAACAAGGAAATGAGAAAGCAAAAAATAATTTAAAAAGACTTCGAAAAAATCAATAATTTTAATAAAATTTTTTTGTATATTTATTTTTTTCTAAAAAATTATTTTTATATATCAGATATATTTTCTTTTATTCTTAAATAAATTTGCATCCATCATTATAATTCGCCACTTTTAAGATTCAAATGCATGATCGTTTTCAAATATATTTAATATATAAAAGGTTTAATAATGATGAAATATTCTTACTTATTATTGTGTGATTATAAATTTCACTTTGCCCTATAAAAAGAGTTTGTGCTAAATTTGTGCCAAATGGGTTAATCATACGATATTTGTTTAGAATTTGTTCGAATTTTATATTATTTTTTAGTACAAATTTCGAATAAATGTTGTATGATTAGCCCGTTTGGCACAAATTTAGCACAAACCTTTTTTATAGGGCAGGAAAACTTTTTTAATATATTTACCTTTTTACATTAATAAAATTAATTTTCAGAATTGTAAACAATGTTTTTATTAATTTTAATACACGTCTATAATCGTCTAATTTAATCGCGCAAAAAAAAAATGTATTTATTATTATGAACATCCTGGGCGATCATCGCCTTTACCAGCATTAGGATGGAACTTGGGCAGAATTAATAATATGAATGTAACTCCGCTAAAAATGCCATCCTAATGCAGTAAGGGCCAGGCGATGTTTAGCAATTAGAGTTGGATTAGTCCGGACCGGACCGGACCGGACTGGTCTTTTGACCAGTCCTTAATGTTTTTAAATTATCTTATTTATAACAGCGGTATTCTTGGGTTGTCAACAAGATAATGAAATGCAGGTCGCACTAAAATTATGACATTAATTTATTATTTATTACCTTTGTTTTCATTGTAAACTAAGTATTACCCAAATAAAATCTTAAAGTTTAAGAGTAAAAATACTGGATAAAATTTTAAAACCTTATACAACTATCGAATATGAAAAAAAATTGTAATGGATGCTGATCATGTAACACAGAATAATTGCATATACGAAAAAATTTTGTTTCTCGTACTTTAACGCATCAATGAGAAATCAAATGATATTGATATTTGAGAATTTTGATATTTCAAAATGAAACTTTATTAATAATATATAATTTATCATTTTTATATAATTATATTAGATAACAAATTTTATATAGTCGGTCCCGGTCCGGTCCAGACTTAGACTGGTCCCAAGACTGATACAGGACCGGTCTTTGCTAGGACCGATCCAACCCTATTAGCAATACCCTATTATTATTGTTCTAAAATAATATAGTACACTTATATGTAGACAAAATTTATACAAAGACGCGAAAAGATTATTGAAAAAATCAAAATATTATTGTTACGTTCATTAATGTTTTATGTCGAGGAATAAGAGTTTAAAGTCGCCTGTTGCAGCTTTAAAAATTTCCAATTAAATAATTTTGCAACATAAAAATTCGTGTAAATTAACTGCCCATAATATTACCTGTTTTACCATTTTAATAATAAAAATTCAAAGTATGTTCCAATTTTCTCAACCTAATAAATAAGCTGAAAAATAAAACAATTCTTAGAAAGGTGATTTTAGTTATCATAACCTATTTCATATTTACTGCATATTAATTTTTTTAGTGCAAATAATGTTATTTAATTTCCCTTCATACATTATTTTCGGGTTTCAATTAGTTATTAGTCCTGCTCAGGTCACTCATAATGAGGAAAAAAAGACAAAAATAAATTCTTTATTATTATATTTCTTTCTTATTAAGTTACCAAGTTACCTAATTTTAAAAATTTTGTTAATCGTTTGATCAAAATTAGTTGAATCAATCGCTTTTATCGTTAAGTTTATTTTTTATTAAGTAATAAACAAATAAAATCAGTAAAATAAAACTAGACAATTAATTAAAAAGCATAATTAAATAAAATAAAGAAATATAAGTAAAAAACATAAAGATTAATTAAAGCAATATAAAAACAAAGGATAGATTAAATAAAAAAGAATATAATCCGATTACACTGTTACGGTTAGGCGTAATTATAAATAATTTTTCCATTTTTCCATTTTTGATATCACTTTCAAAGATTGTATTGTACTACTTAAAGAAATCTTAAGGGAAATAAACTGAAAAACTATTAAATTCATGTTTACTCATTATTATTAACATTTTTTAATAGATCTTTTATATTTCAAACAACATTTTGTGAGATTTTCCATATATTCAGTTAACTTTTCAAGAGTAATAAATGAATTAATCAAATGTGTATTTGGTGATATTATAAACAATTGTTAAAAAAAATATAAAAAAAAAAAAAAATTTTTTGCATATTTTCGAATATTCTGTATTAAAAAAAATCTTTATTTTCATTTTCAACTCTAAAGTTTAATATTATATTCTGTCCTGAATATCGAATTTTGATTGGATAATATTAAATCTGAAAATTTATCATTATCAATTGTTTGAGGAAAGTTAAAATTTGATAACAATATACTGNAAAAAAAAAAAAAAAAAAAAATATTTTGGGAGAAATAAAATTCGTAACGTCAGAAAGATGACGATTTATTTATCAATTCAAAAGATTTCAAATTTCATTAATACAATAGAATTAAAAATTTGTCTTCATAATTTTGATTATAATGAATAAAATGTTAACGATAATAGAAGCTTATTTACCAAAAACTTCAAATCTTTCTTTACTAAATTTTAGAGGTTAAAGATCTGTCATTTTTTGCTAAATTAAAAGAAACCACAAAAATTCTCCAATAGTTCTTAATATTTTATCTCATACGAATAATGCCAATACAACATTGTTATTGCGAAATATTTCTTCATCATCAATCGAATAACATACTCAAATATTACGGTATGAAAGATCGTTTTTTCAAAAATAACATTTATTACATTTATATTAAATCAAATTATATTTTAAATATTCTAGATGTAAGGATACTTTTAATAAATTAATATATTCTTATTTTTCATCGTATAACAATACATTTTAAAACTTCAATATGTTGTTGGTATTATTGTAGATGAGATGTCTTGTTCAATTTTATTCAAATAACATCCTCCCTTTAATAAAAAAATTTTTTAACTTAATTGTTATGTAGTATATATTTTAATGGTACGTACTCTCTCAAAAATTTCATAATGACATCATTGTGTATATATTACATTTACTGCGTGCGTTACTGACTTTTTTCTTTGTTTGGTAATACTAAAATTATTAAATTACGCTGTACGTTGTACTACATCAACTTCATATAAAAAGCATACACAATTAAACTTTTCTTTTTTTTTTTTTTTTAACTTTCTGTTAACTTATTATTATTAAATACGTCAAAATGCAAGATATCGAAAATACAAATGAATGGATTAATTGGATTGAAGAAGCTGTCGATAAAGAACATTTAAAATTTTATGAATACCAGCAATTTAATAATATTCAACATATTGGTACGGGAGGTTTCGGAAACATATATCGTGCCAATTGGAAAAATTCAGAAAAATTATTTGCGTTAAAATCTTTTTTTAGTCTTAATAACATCACCATGAAAGAAATCGTTCGTGAGGTATTTATAATGTATAATACACTTTTTTCCTGTCTGAAATTTTATCTAATATCTTTATTTCAAATATTTTATTTTTTATTCAGTTAAAAATTCAACGCGAAGTTGATTTTCATGATAACATTATTCGTTGCTATGGAATAACAAACCTTGAGACAGGTATTATTAACATCACCTTGATAAATATGATATTCTTTTAATCGCAAAATTTTTCAAAAGTTTATTTAGTAATTATTTCTTTTATTCATTAGAAAATTATAATAATTATCAGTTAGTAATGGAATACGCCGACGGTGGTACTCTTCGAAGTTATTTAAAGAAAAATTTTAACAAGCTTACTTGGGATGACAAATATAATATGGCATACCAGTTATCTTGTGCCGTATCATGCTTACATAACGAAAGAATAGTGCATCGTGACTTGGTAATTTACTATTTAATCATTAATTATAATGTATTTTGTATCATTAATTTAAAAAAAAATTTGATTATATATATGTTTCTTTAATAGCACTCCTGTAATATACTAGTCCATAATAACACAATCAAATTAGCAGATTTTGGATTATCCAAAAGAATTGTAACATCATCTAATCTTCAATCTAAATTATTTGGTGGTGTGGTTCCTTATGTCGATCCAAAAAGCTTTAGAAATAATAATAATCAATCAACACAAATG